TTCTACTTTTGTTATCATTGGATGCGGTATCTTCCACTACAACCTTAGCTTGTTGAGTGTAAAGAGCAACCAACAACTCTGCATAAACTTCTTGGGCCTGTCCTTCAAGACATGTTCGAGTTCTAGAAAAAAGGAAAAGTGAATTTAAGCTTCTCTAACTTAACTTGTTTAAGCTTACATAGTTGGAATACTTTCTTGTCTGATGGTCAAAACTTCTATCTCATTAGTTGGCTAAATATGATGGCTTTGGAATTGATAATTTGAATATCCTCTTAGGTATCTTGCCAAGAATTGCGATGTCAATCAAATAGAAGGCATCCATATTAGGCGCAATGCAAACCCTTGTATTTTGGAATTTCAACCTTAAACTTGAAAATAGTTCAAAAGAGAGGATTTGCTATATGATGCATGGATTTTAATGGTTGGGGTGCTCGGGGATCTCAACTTAGAGCACACTGTCAACTCAAATGGTATGCACCTTTCTTGACAAATATGTGATTTTGATATCCAATGAATATTTTCGACTCTTTTGACATTTAACACAGAGTCTACCCAGATAATTAAAGAATTTTGAATGAATGGTCCTCTTATTTGGCGAAATGGGGAGTTATAGTGCCTGATGCATTTAGGGATCTTGGTAAGGAGAACGTTTCAATCCAAATAAATAAATTATAATAAAAATGCTCCTATATTGTACGGGTAATTTTAGCTGCATGAAATATTTTAGGGATCTCAGCATATGACACGATGTCGACCCAAATGTATGAAAAGGTCTCTTATTTTACAAATGAAAGCATTGATAGTAAATATCAGTACTTAGGGATCTTGGCCTAAGACATGTGTTCTACTCAAATACGAGAGAAAGCCCTCTATATATAAAAGAAAGTATTTGATAATAAATAATAATACTTGGGATTCCTGGCGAAAGGGCTGGTGTCTAATCAAATATATGAAAAGGACCCCTATCTTGTAATGGAAAGCATTTTAGCAATAAATAATAGTATTTGAGGATATTGACAAATATAAGATAAGGCCCCCTATCATGCAATGTAAGGCTTTAGCCATAAATAATAGTATTTAAGGATCTCGGCCTGAGATATGATGCCAACCTAAAGATATAAAAAATCACATGTCTTACAGGAGGGATTTTATGGTGGTTAGAAACACATTCTTGTATTACAATAGAATTTTTAGAAATATCTTATAAACTCTTCTCAAACTTATTTTCTTTGAATGACCTGAGGATCTTCTTCTTGGGTTTATGTAATAGTTTGTAAGTGAGAATGAAGAACAACTAAAGTTGACTTCCACTGACTTATATTTGATACCAACTCTTCTATCAAAGAAAATAGATCTGTTTGTAATAGAGAGTTAGTAGCAACTGAAGCTGACTCCTACAAGCTTGTATTTGATAACTCATCTTCAAACTAGGATTGCAGTTATCATTCATTCCATTATTCTCGACTTATTGGAGAGTTAAGAATGACCAAAGTCATATCCTACTATCAAAATTATGGTAACCCCTCCACTCACAAGGAACATAGATAAGTTTGTAATGGAGTTTGATGCCCAAATGAAGTTAACTACTTCTAGTTTGCATGTGATAACCCCTCTTACTATAACTTGGTGACATTGTGATCCATTGATAGACATTCCAAGGTGTCAAGCATTTAAAAATTCACCAATGAGCCTTTTTCAAAACTCATATTTGAATGATCTAGTTAATGCAGATCTTTAAGAACATAAATCAGATGTCATGTTATTTCATTTTTTGATCGGCTCACCTTCATAAATTTTGAGCTATCATAGAAGAAGATAGCTAAAAACTTCTTGATTGAAGCTCTATTGGTCTTAATCACCATAAGCTTATTTGTCTCTTAAATCAGATGTCATGTTATTTCATTTTTTGATCGGTTCACCTTCATAAATTTTGAGCTATCATACAAGAAGATAGCTAAAAACTTCTTGATTGAAGCTTTATTGGTCTTAATCACCATAAGCTTATTTGTCTCATTTCTTTGATAATATTTAAGACCCTCTGCACTTTAATAGACAGAAATTTAGACTGATTCCAGTTAGTAAGAGCTTAATGCTATTCAGCCCAAAAAAAATATTCAATATCACTAGTAGAGCTGTTCCTATTATGAAATTTAGGGCGAAGAAAACACAGGAATCGACATAAAACCAGAAGAAGAACACAGAGATTTAACGAGGTTCGGCAAATATGCCTACATCCTCGGGAGCAGAGCGGCGTCGGGAGCAGAGCGGCGGCGGCGAATTTCACTATTTCAGAGAAGTTACATACCCATAGGGTTACACATCTATTTATAGATAAAACCCAAAGATAATTATAAACACGCCCTCGCTCCCCCCACCCCACTAATCCAAGAGACACGCCTCTTCACACCATGAGACACACCTCTTCATTCCAAGAGACACGCTTCTCCAAATTTAAGAGACTCCAAATTCCTGGTATATGAGTCATACCTAACAATTCTCCACCTTGGAGAATGTCTAACCCCTTAGGAGAAAATCTCCACCTTGTGAATATCCAGCCCCGTAGGAGAAATACATCATGGAGTTTCTTACACCAAAGTGGGTTGGGCAACCATGCCAACTAGCAACTGCAAACATTCAACAAGTTCATTCTGCAAACATTCAACAAGTTCAAGTAACACAAGAACTTGTTGAAAAGACCTGACTTGGTCAACTTTCCAACTGCATTTTCATCATATGATCCGACAGAGTGAACTTTATTTACAACTGTACTCCCCAACAGTTTATAGATATTAAAGGTTTCATAACTCGCAATGTCTTCAAAAGTCCTTGTTGTGCCAATAAATCTTTCACCCTTGTTTGCCACAATCCGAATTCGCGAACTACTCTAGTTACTTTTGCCTTCTCGCGCGAAGCTTCCTGTCGCGGTTCGCGCTAACTTCCCTGGCCATGGTTCACAAAGTCTTCCGCTTCACAAACTCTTCCGCCTCAGCTTCCGCCTTAGTAAGCGCAGGTTGGAATTCCTTCACCGAACCGTCAAAAAACCTAGCCTTTGAACTCCTCTGCAGATTCACGACTCTTCCTACACCCCTGTACCACGAACCCTTCAGATTGGTGCATGTAAATGTCTTCTTCAAGATCCCCATGAAGAAAGGTTGTCTTCACATCTAAGTGCTCAAGGAAGAGAACTTCAGTAGCCACCATAGACAGTACCATTCTGATGGTTGTAAGCTTCACCACAGGAGAGAAAATCTCGGAATAATCAATACCGTGCTTCTGCTGAAAACCCTATACAACAAGTCTTGCTTTGTAGCTCTTGCTATTATCATGCCTAGTCTTCACCCGGTACACCCACTTGTTGTGTAATGTCTTCTTCCCAAATGGAAAATCTACTAACTCCCAAGTCTGGTTTAGTCTGATTTTCAAGCAGAGAATTCATCTCCTCCTTCATGGCTAGCTCCCACTTGCTCGAATTTTCATCTTGCAAGTTTTCTTCATAACTCTGAGGTTCTTCATCACCTGTCAGCACTGTCAGCAGAATGTAGTTTAAAGTTGGAGAATAAAGTTGTGGAGAATGTCTAACCCTTTTTGACTTACGAACTGCAACTATAGGGGTAGACTGCACTGAAACTGACTGTGGAACAATAGGAGTGGATGCCCCGGATCCACTCTCCTCATCACCTGCATCTTTGTCCTGCACTGTGACCTCTGGTAAATCATCAAACTTTACCAACTCATATTTCTTCAGTGTTGTTTCAGAAACTGTACTGAACTTGACTTTGTACATAACATTCTCATTGAAAAATCACGTCCCTACTCCTTATGATCTTCCGAGCCTGATCATCCCAGAAATGATATCCAAATGCCTCATCTTCATAGCCAATGAAATAACACTTCTTTGACTTAGCCTCAAGCTTACTTCGAGCATCAGGATTAATGAGAATATAAGAAAGACATTCAAAAGTCTTAAGGTGAGAAAATTTTACCTCTTTCTCACTTCGGACTTCTTCAGGTAGTTCATAATTTAATGGAACAGATGACCCCCTATTGATCAAATAAATTGCAGTACTGACAGCTTCTGCCCAAAATGTAGGTGGTAGTATGACATGCAATCTCATGCTTCTAGCCCGCTCATTAACAGTTTTGTTCATGCGCTCTGCAACACCATTTTGCTATAGTGTCCTCGGAGTGGTCTTCTCCATTCTGATTCCCTGACTGCACAGTACTCTTTGAACCCACCATCAATGTACTCGTCACCATTATCAGACCTTAGACATTTCAGCTTTAAGCATGTCTCTGTCTCAACCATGGCTTTCCAAGTCTTGAAAACACCGAATATATCAGATTTATACTTCAAGAAATAAACTTAATCCTTTCTGCTATGATAATCAATGAATGTTACATAGTAACTAGAACCTCCAAGAGATGTCACTGGAGAAGGTCCCTACACATCTATGTGTATATGATTCAATTTTCCTACCTTTGGCGTCCTACTACGAGAACCTCCAAGAGATGCCACTGGAGAAGGTCCCTACACATCTATGTGTACATGATTCAGTTTTCCTACCTTTCGCTGGCGTCCTACTAGTCCTACTACATTTCAAGAAACTGAACTTCCTCTGCTTCCCCATAAAGCAACTCTCACAGATACCGAGATCAATCGACTAATGAGCGGGCTAGAAGCATGAGATTGCATGTCGGACTACCATCTACTTTCTGGGCAGAAGCTGTCAGTCATGCGGTTTATTTGATCAATAGGGGGCTATCTGTTTCATTTTTCGCTTTGTCAAAGTCGATCATTTTAAATTTAATATATACCACAACCGTTCCTATTAACCAATTTTAAAATTTTGAGTTGATTACAAGTAAGAATACTCGCTTACGAGATTTGTTCAAATAGCATCACCGAGATCTTAATAATCCTTTTTCTCTTTTTCCTTTCAAATAAATTTCTTCTCCATGAGGAAATTTTAGCTTTGGTGCAAAAGATTTGATAATCAAAGTAAAGATATTGATAAATAGCCTGAAATGCGGGACATGCAGTTCAGCAACCAAATAAAATTATGATCATAGCCTCGGTGTTGGAAATCTCAGTGATGAAGATCGCCAACAGGAGAAGGGGAGCGCCGAAGCTAGATTCTTTTTCAACCTTTTAAACCCTAAACACCAAAAAAGAACCATTACCGGGAGCAACTAGAGCTTGACGCGGAAGAGGCAGGTGCTGCTGCGACTTCAGGCAAATAAAGATTGATTGTTGCAGCAGAAGCCAGATAAAATGGAGATAGTGTGTCCTTCGATCTTCTTGCGTAGGAGACAGACGGAAGCTTTAGAGGTTTTGACTTGCAGATTAATGAAATAGGGAAGTTTATTTGCAACCGAGTTTTCTAAACAGCACAGAAGGACAGAGTTTAAATTAAAATTTAGGACATGACATAAGTAATAAGAGGCGTTTTGTGCGTTGGAGCTGTGAAAACCTCTAAAAAAAACATAGTTGAATCTTTGTCTAAATATAACCTGAGCTCGCTTGGCGCAGCTCATTTCTCTCGAACAAAAAAGAGACGTTACCTCAGCCTCCAATTTTCTGACGCGCTGCTGCTCATAATCGGTCGCGTTGCCTCGAAATTTCTAAAATATTTCCCCGATCATCGTCCGGACGGCGGCCTGGCTTTGGCTTTCGCAGGTCGAGATTTGTGGATTAGGTTTTTCGTGCCGCCCAAAGGTTGGTTCTTGTTGGCAGAGGTTTTCGGAGCCAGGCATTGGCGATGAGGAGAATGAATGCATAGCTGCAACTGCGGATCTGAATCTTAATCTTGGTCGTCCTGGTTCTCCTGGCTCTTGCAGTTTTGATATGAGTTCCGATCTGTCTTCAATCTCGTTAACACGGACGGTTTCCTCCGATTCCAACGAAAGAGGTGATCTTCGACATGAGATTCTCCCTTTTGATCTTAATTATGAACCTTGTGAGGAGACCGAAGGACTCAGCATTGTTGAATCGATGCCAGAAATAGCGTGTTCCCCAAACGTAAGGCAGCAAGCACCAGCAGCAGTTGTAGCCCCAGATAGTTCTGAAAAGGAAGAAGAGGAGAGACATAGACGCGCAACTAACTTTGAGTGTAACATCTGCTTTGATATAGCCAAGGAACCTGTTGTTACGTCATGTGGCCATCTCTTTTGCTGGCCTTGCTTGTATTTATGGCTTCATGTTCATTCTAAACATAAGGAATGTCCAGTATGTAAGGGAGAGGTGACTGAAGCTAGTATAACTCCTATATATGGGAGAGGGTGCTCCAGATCTGCTAATGAGAATAAGGATGAAGGAAACAGTGCCGCAGGCATCTCAATTCCATGGAGGCCCCGTGGCAATCGGCTAGAGAGTCGGAGGCAGAATTTTGACCGAAATTCACGATTCGTTGGAGCTGAAATTACAAACTCTTGGAGACTTTATGAAAATGATCAGATACATAATAGGAGCGGATTTATTGGGCGTGAATATGTTCTTATGAATGAGATGTTGGCTGGAGATCCTTCCATTCATACCAGTTCTAGGGCCAGAAGACTTGAACAAGGGAATACCGAAGATGGACCAACAACTATGGAAGGAAGATTTCAAAGAGAAGATGAATCCGTTCTAAGAGATAGTGGTACAGAGTCGATTCCCAATGAAATTGATACTGGGCGGGGGGCATATATTTTTCCTACCATTGATAGTTTGGTTCGGTTCAAAGATATACAGAAAATACCAATTTTTGTGGACCATCCTCATCTGTTAATTCGCCAAATCCTGGTCAATCTGTTAGCATACCCATAGCTGGGGCAGGACCATCTGCTGATCAGGCTTCTGCTTCAACTTCGATGACTGAGATTATTAATGAATGTTCTGCTAGAGATGACTCAACAGAACCACATAGCGGCCGATCTTTTAGCCCATACCAAAGAATAAGGAGAAGCAATTCTTCTAGCTCTTCTGATGATGGTGGAAACCGCTGGACTCGTAAGAGGATAAGGCTTCCCTGATAATGTCTCTGTGGCTGGCTGTTCTATAACTTGTTTTTGCAATATTCAAAGTTTTTGTTCTAAACTTGTTTATTCTCGGTTTTTTTATGAAAATTTTGCTACTTGTATTTACTCGTGATATTTCATCAATTCTAGTGAGTTTTCTTGCATTAATTTGCTGCGCAGTCGCATTCTTTTTTGATATCTAGTGACTGCAAGCAACAGAAAAACTGTGGTTTCATCTGATTAGCTTGAGCAACTGGAATGCTAGTGAAATAAGATGAAGACGCGCAGCTTTTCTTTCTGTATGTTTATCTCAGAGATAAATCCCTTTTGTTTCATTGTGTGGCATTCATTGATTGCAAAATTTTGATGGCTTGGCATGATGCCTGATTTTTTGAATTTTTTCTTATATTCTTTAAGCTAAATTTGTGACATGAATTTTGCGTGTTCCACTTCATCTCATAAGTAAATTATGACCACACGGATTGTGGTTTCAGAAGGAAATTGTGAGCACAGAGATTGAAGGTTTTGACCGTTAGATCAAGTTAATTTTGATATCTAGCTTTTAGATTGCAATTTGTTTGCTATTATTTTATTGGCTCTCTTTTAATTATTTTTTCCCTTTAAAGAGTATTGCTAAAATTATAAATACTCATCTTCTGTTTTGTGCAAGGCACTCTTTATTTTTAATCTCTTATTTAATTTAGTGAATTCTCCTTGTCTGTATGTTCTTTCTTTTGCTTATTTCATTATTTGTAGCATCGATTTAATATTAAGTTATAATAAGTCTTATTAGATATATGTTTGATCTCGACAATGGCATCAGTAAAGTACGACATCCTTGTTTTAAATTGCAACACCAGATTTTTTCTTTGTAAGATGCGAGCAATCTTAGGGCAGATGAATCTAGACGATGCACAACTTGGATTTGATAACTTTTACTCATCATGAATGCTGGAGGAGAAACAACGTAAAGATCGTATTATTTTTTTCTCAAATTCATCTTCATCTATCAAATAAGATTCTACAAGACGTTTTGTAGAAGTCCATTGTTGCGTTATGACTCAAATTAGAACAATTGTGCATGATGAAAAGTTTTTCCAGTAAGTTGTACTTGAAGTAGTATTTGCACTCTCATAGAATGACCGAAGGTGCATCTGTTATAAATTACTTAACTGTCTCTGATTTTGAAGTCATGTAAGTTAAGTATGACAAAGAAGATTTGACATAAATTCTGTTGTGCTCACTAACTTCATAATGTACCATTTTTAGATAAAACATCTTGTATGGGCGAGAGACACTTATTCAAGACAAAGTATATAATGCTTTAATTTCTAAGAAGAAGATGAAGCAACTTGTGGATGAACCCGTTGCTCAAGGAGAAGACCTGGTCGTAGAACTCAAGAGAGAAGTTCTGGTGCTGATACAAAGAGCATATCAAAATCCAAAAATAAGCATATGATCTGTCATTACTGTAAGAAAAAAGGGCACATCAAATCTGAATGTTACAAGTTGCAAGATAAAAATAAGAAAACAACTTCAAATGGGAAGGCCAAACAATCAGATTATTCTGATGAAGTCAGTGTTGTTGGAGAAGCTATTAATGATGGCAAACTCCTAGTTATCTTCGACGGAGAATCTTGTGTTGATGGACCTTTTGATTTAGCCTACACATTTCATGTGTCCTAATAGGGATTAGTTTTCAACATATGAAACAGTGTCGAAGGATTCGTGTTAATGAGTAATAATGCTCATTGTAAGATAATAGGTGTCGAAGCTGTTAGAGTCAAGATGTTTAATGGAGTTATCAGAATACTTAGAAATGTGTGACTTGTCCCCGATCTAAAAAAGATTCTAATTTCTTTAAGTACTCTTGATGCTAAAGAGTACAAGTATTTTGGTGAATGTGGAGTTTTGAAGGTCAACAAAAGATCTTTTATTATGATGAAGGCACAAAAGAAGGTTGTTGGACTGTATGTCTTGCAAGGCTCTACTATGGTAAGTGATGAAACAGTTACCACTTCTTCCATGTCAAAAAATAAAGCAACCAAAGTTTAACATATGAGTGAGAATGAGATGGCAGAATTGAGCAAAAGGGGACTTCTAAATAGTTAAAGCATTACTAAATTGAAGTTTTGTGAATATTGTGTATTAGAAAACAGAATAGAGTTAAGTTCAATACGGGTGTTCATAATGCTAATGAAATATTAGACTACATACATTCTGACATTTGGGGGCTATCTATAGTATTATCTGAAAGAAGCGGTAGATATATGCTAATGTCCATTGATGATTGTTTCATGAAATTTTGGGCATTTTTTTTAAGTAGAAGAATGATTTTTTTACTGCATTTAAGGAATGAAAGATCATGATCGAGAAATAGACTTGAAACAAATCAAACGTCTTCACACTGATAATGGGTTGGAGTTATATTAAGGAGAATTTAATATCTTCAGCAACTCTGAAGGAATTATGAAGGACTTCATAGTCTGACACATACCTTAACAAATAGTGTGGCAGAACGTATGAACGAGACTATAATGAAGAAGGTTTGTCGCATACTCTCCAATGCCAAGCTATCAAAGCCATTTGGGATGAAGCTGCTTCTACAGCTTGTTACATGGTGTATCGCTCTCCTTCCGTTGATATTGGCGAGAAAACTTCATAAAAGATTTGGTTAGGTAAATTTGTAGATTACTCTTTTAAGAATTTTTGGTTGTCCAACATATGCTCATTTTAATAATGATAAAGTAGAGCCTAAATCTATAAATTGTGTATTTATTGTTTATAAAACTGGAGTTAAAGGCTATAAGTTATGGTGCCAAGAAACAAAAAAGTGATGATTAGTAGAGATGTTGTATTTGATGAGTGCCGTATTTTATACATCTATTGCATAATCTAAAGATGATGATCAGAAGGAAATGTCTAGCAGATAAGTGGAGATTCAAATTGATACAGGTACATCCTTGGGCATAACTTTTGAATCAAATTCTAATAATCAGGATGATCTTGTTTTTCTGCCATCATAATAACAACCATCGTGGTATTCTATTGCAAAAAATAGAACAAGAAGAGAAATTAAGCTATCTCAGAGATATGGTGAGGTTGATTTGGTTGCTTATGCTCTAAATATAGCTGAAGAGAAATTAAGCTGCCCCAGAGGTATGGTGAGGCTGATTTGGCTGCTTATGCTCTAAATATAGTTGAAGGTATCGTTGTAGCTAAGTGCTTTCTAGCTATAAATAAGCAGTGAAGTCAGTTGACTCTGATAAGTGGATGATCGCTATGCAAGAGGAGATTGGATCCCTACATATAAATAAAACTTAGGATTTGGTAAAATTACCTCAAGACAAGAAAGCTATTGCTGCAAATGGGTGTTTAAGAAGAATGGATATACACCAGCAGTTGAAGATGCCCGATATAAGATTTAGATTTATTGCAAAGAGATTCAGTTAAATTTCAGTTTTAGACTTTAGAGATTTATTCTCTCCGATTGTCAAACATATCTCAATTTGAGCTTTACTTGGTATTGTGGTTAAGCATGATCTTGAGCTTGAGCAATTAAATATAAAGACTGCATTTTTGCATGAAGAGCTTAAAGAAGACATCTATATGCAACTGTCTGAGGTTTCATGGTTACAAAAAAAGAAAATCATGTTTGTTTGTTGAAGATACACGGTTTGAAACAATCTTCTAGGTAGTGATATAAGAAATTTGACTCATTCATGATTACTCAATAATTTTATGAGAAATAGTTATGATAGCTGTGTTTACTTCAAGGAAAATATTAAAAAAATCATTTATCTACTTGCTTTTATGTGTCAATTATATGTTGATAGCTGCTAAGGATAAAGAAAATATCAAGATGATAAAAACTCAACTTAGCAGTGAGTTTGAGATGAATGATCTGGGAGTTGCAAGGAAATACTCGACATGGAGATTCATATAGATAAAAGTGCAGGTAAATTATTTCCATGTCAGAAACAGTACATTTAAAAAGTTTTGAATAGATTTAATATGCAAAATGCCAAGCTTGGTAGTATTCCATTAGTTGAGCATTTAAACCTTTCATTATCTCTGTGTTCCCAATCTGATGATGAGATTGAATATGTGTCTTGAGTTCCATATTCCAGTACAGTGGGATCTCTCATCCATGCTATTGTATGTTCTCTTCTAGTTAGTGCAATTAGTGAATATATGAGTAATCCGGGTAAAAAATACTGAAAAATAGTTCAGTGGATCCTCAGGTATCTATGTGGAACAAATGATGTTTGTTTGTAGTTTGAGAGGACTACAGATAAAGTCATTGGCTATGTTAATTCAGATTTTGCAAGAGATCTTGATAGAAGGAGATCAATTATAGGATACATGTTTACTACTAGTGGTTGTGCGATTAGCTGGAAGGCTATATAGACAACAATGACATTATCTATAATTGAAGTAGAGTACATGACAATTCTTAAAGCTTGTAAATAAGCACTTTAGTTGAAAGATATATTTGAAGAGTTTAGAAAAAACTTGAAGATAACTATACTGATGTGTGATAATCAGAGTGTTATTTAACTGACAAAGATCAAATTTTCATGAGAAACTAAACACATTATTGTTCATTATCACTTCGCTTGTAATGTTATTGCTCGTGATGATATTGTTGTTAGCAAGATCGTTACTCATGAGAATCTTCTGGATGTGAGGACTAAAATTGTGTTTGGGGGGCATTTTCGCTGCTTTTTGGTTTGAAAAAAGCAATTCAACACATTTGGGAGGGCGCTTTTCGTGTGCATTTTGGAGTTGTGCGTATTCGGAACAACGAAATCGAGAACGCACGGGCGGGCTCTGTTTCACGGTTTCTTGTGCAACCCTGGTGCGAAATTACAAAGCCACCCCTCAATAATTCGGAAAATAACTCCCTTAAGTCCCTGATAATACTCCTCTGTAGCCCCTTCTCCCTCCATTTGTTCTTGTTGTGGCTTTAGAGCAAAATCGTGGTTTGTTGGCCCTTTCTCCCCTCTGTTCGT